GTGACTCAGGGAAAATGCTAGACCAAGTGGAAAATAGCTGAATTTTAAAAAGTATGGTCAGAGCAGCTTTTTCATCCACTGAAAGAATGTTTTTTAAAAGAATCTGATCTTCTGAGTTTGACTCTTCATTCAAAAAAAAAAAAAAAAAAGAATCATTTAATCTTTAGGAAGAACATTCTTCCTTCCCCTCTTTTGGGTACTTTAAAGCAGGGTCTCGCTATGTACTTCAGATTGGCCTGGAACTCACTATGTAAGCCAAGCTGGCCTCAAACTCACAGTGATCCTCCTGCCTCAGCCTTCCACAAGGGATGGAATTACAGGTCTGTGCCACCTTGCCTGGCCACCATCAAGTCTTGGATGGCATGTTTACAAAGGTGAGAAAGATTACCAAGTTTTAACTGTAATACTTGAAGAAATTAGCTGCTTCCTAGAAGAAGGTACATTTTTACCTCTGGCACTGTAGATTCTTCCTCTAGTGCTGGGCATTTAATCCAGAAACTGTACTGAGCTATATTCTCAGCCCTTTTATTTTGAGACAGGCTCCACTAAGTTGCTAAGTTGCCCAGGCTGGGTTTGAACTTGTGATCCACCTGCCCCAGCCTTCTGAATAGCTGGAATACAGGTGTGTACTATGATGCTTGACTACTGTAGAATTGCTGAAATTCTAGGATTTCAAGGATCTAACAGGTGTAGGGAAATACTTGTTTTCCCTTCATTTCTGAACAGGGTCGCATTAACCTAGCTCCTCAGAAGCTGAGGCAGGCACATTGCTGTTTGAGACTCAGCACTGGAGCTCCTTGCGTTGCATGTGTAAGTCCCTGGGTTCAAATACCACCACAGGAAGGAAAAAAAAAAGTTGAGAGACTGGCAAGCACTTAAAGAAAACTTCCAGAACTGTCCTTACTTTCCTTCCAATAGTAGTTTCAAGTTGTTGTTTTCTGTCTTTTTGAGACAAGGTCTCACTGTGCAGTTCAGGCTGGCTTTGAACTCACTTTATAGCCCAGGCTGGTGTTTTGTTG